TAGTGTCAGATAATGAAGACAACTAGGAAACTTTAAAAAGATGGTGGTGGCAGGGGGTGGGGTGGGGGTGTGGTGGGGAACTGTGTCTTGGAAACTGTTCCAGAGGAGATGGGTACGGGAGGGAGGTCAGAGTGTTGAGAAGGATCTATGTGTGCCCCCAAGTGAGCAGAGTCTTGAGGGCAGCAGACCAAACTGTAAAGAAGAGATGACACATTCTCTCTGGAAATATATGCAGTTAAGAGGTATCCTCTGAAGCCACGGTTGAAGAGAAGGCTAAGAGCTGTAGTTTGAAATACGGTCTTCAATGATGGGACAAGAGTGAGGTCTGTGTGTTTGTGTGGGTGTATCAGGAGGTGGGTTGTCAGTAGTAAGGTGGAGAGTATGCATGAGTGTATGCCAAGGAAGCTTGTGGAACTGGGATGCTGAAATGTAGTTCTCAGGATCTGTGGCTTGTGGAACTGGGATACTGAAATGTAGTTCCCAGGATCTGTGGCTTGGGATGCTGCAAAAAGCCACATCCAGCACCATCCTGTTAGAGGTCGAGTAAGTCTGCAAACTGGGTTGAAGCACTAAGTTCTGCCATCTTCTTCAGATTGAGGAGCGTGGAAAGAGAACCTCCAAAGGAGAGTGCCAAGCCCTGATGAATGCAGGAACATAACAAGGTCCTGTTTCCTTAGCTATAGTAGGTTCCTTTCATAAACCAAAAGCCAATTGTGTTTTTGTTCATGTAAATGCATGCTCTTTATCCTAGAAAGTGTTTTCAGTCAAGGAAAGTTAAAGTTTAATCAATCAGGGTTGATAGATAAAACAAGTATGTGTAAATGCTATTTTTTTCTGAATAATCATATATTGTTTTCTAAAAGAAAAACTTCCTCAGATGTTGATAGAAGTCTCTCGAGAATGCATTCAGGCAGTGAGAGGTTTCCTGGCAGTGATTGAGAAGTACTGTATCGGGCAGCTGCACTTCATCTCTTCTGAGGTTGATTTTGACGTGTGTAGTTTTTACATCCTATTAAATTTTTGAAAGATAAACTGATACAAGAATGATTTGCCAAGGCCAGCAGCTCTTCCTTTTAAAACCTTGGCTCAGTGTACACAGGGAAGGGATGGGGGAGTAAGATAAAAGCATTATAAATATGAGGTTAACTGAATTCAAATAGAAGGTTCTCTCAAGTTATTGCATTCCTTAGAAAATAAATACATTGAGCATATGGTTAAGATTGATCAAAAACGTATTCTGTATGCCAGTGATTACATTCCCATCTGTGATTAAGGTTTTCTGTCTGCATCTGGTTTTCACATTATATTTCTGTAACAAGAATCCTTTATATAGCAGGGTTCAGTCTCTGTATTTTCTATTAGCTACAGCTTGAACTACTGCACGGATGGCAGATTTAAACATGTGCTTTTCATTACTTCATACCATTGAGAAAAAGTAATATTTGTTTGGGAATGTATGTTTTCCACAATTTCCATGGTAATACAGCACGTTGAGCGATTTTAATAACACTCCTGTAGGACTACAAATTGTTTGAGGCACTCTAGCCTTAGTGGAGCTCAGCTTTCAAACTTTCCTCTGAGGTGTTCCCCCTGTGAAGAGGTGTGCATCTGAGGACTGCGGGTTAAACAAAGAGAATATTAAAGATAAAGGGAAATTTTGAAATTTTCCTGTTGTTGAGGTGTGATAGAAACTTTACAGTAGAATAGCTACACATGTACCTGAACATATATGTCATAGTGTTTATTACTGTTGCTCATTTTATTACCATTTCAGATGGGAAGAGTTTATTTTAATACATTAGATATATGAAACACAAATGCACTCCAAGTCCTCCAGAGATTAGCGCTCTCGCTCTCGCTCTCTCTCTCTCTCTCTCTCTCTCTCTCTCTCTCTCTCTCTCTCTCTCTCTTTCTCTCTCTCTCTCTCCCTCTCTCTCTCTACCCTTCCTCCTTTGTTTCTCTACCTTTCTTTCTTTCAAAACTCTATTAATGGTGGTATGCTTCATCTATCAGAAGCTAAGGGGCGGGTGCTAGTGTACATCTGTAACTTTGCATTCTGTGGTGTTTGAGTGTATATTTGTATACTCTGTTGACATTTAAAGATTATAAATGTGTACGTTTGGAATATTTGATAACACTGTCTTCCTGCTAACTCATACACTTCAGAGTCCTCCTTAAAGTAGATGCTAAAAGTGAAGTTCGGAAGTGTAACACTGTGTTCTATTCTGAGCAATCCCTTCTCAGCCAGTAGTTTGTCTCTCAGAGGTCTTTCTTCATACGATAATTTTGCGTACCTCGGAACTGAAATTCTTGACACTATTGTTGTTAAACATTGGCCTAACTCTGCATAACTTGGCATAAGAAATAGACCAATGCCAGGGTTTGTTTCCTCGGTTTCCCTTACTCAGGAGAGACAGTCAGCTGTGGTCCATAGCTGACACACAAGAAACCATGAGCTGATGCCTTTTGGTGACAATTTCTCTCTGATGTCTTTGGTTGACAATTATTGAAGCCAAAAATGTTATCATACATCACTACTGAAATCTAAAAGTCTGTTTACTTTCTTTTTTTCCCAATGTTTTATTAAAGCTTCTGTTATTTGTTCATTTGCTTGCTTGCTTGTTTGCTGCCTTGGCATAGAATCATGAGAAATAACCAATCTTGTTTTACAAAGAAACATATTCCATCTTCCAGATGTAGTTCTACTTAGTACTTATAATTGTGTTTGTTTGACTTGTTGTGTACAGACCTTTCCCACCTGCAGTATTTGAGTATTTATATAATCTGAAAATGTTATAAATATCTATGTTATGTATCTTTGTTACTTTCTATTTGAAGTATTTCCTTTGTTATATTTAATAAATTTATTAATTTTCATAGTAAATTAAATGTTTTCAGTTTTCAACTGATTGTCTTTAATGTTTTTTGAGACAATTCACAACCAAGGAATATCTAGTACCACATTTTCCCTAATATGTACATTTATCTATTTATCTATCTATTTGACTATCTATCTATGTATTTATTTATTTTTGATTTTTTATCGTAAAGAACCAATCAACCATTGACTAACAGTATAGCCATATGTTGGTATATAAAGGGCATAGATGCTTTAATGGAATACTTCTTTGAAGTATATCAGAGCAGGGGTACTTAAACTGCTCTACACATGACCCCTTCTGCCTAATACATTTTTACATAATTCTCTATATATAAGTATATAAAGTAGATGGACACATCAAATGCTAATAGTAAATTATGAAGAAATTTATCTTAAAATAATTCTTCAATATGTACTTCTTCCTTTTACCAAAGATGAAAGCATTTCTGGTTACTAATGCAACTTTCTGACACAAAAAGTTAATTGTGGCTGAACAGTTAACTCTGCAGGGTACTGTGCATCATCAATATTTTTCAGAATTGATCAATGGTTTGATTTTATGATATTTAGTACTGAGAATGCTCCTTCACATAAATTCAAAGAACAGAATGGCAAAATTATGTTTATACCCGTTTCAGGAATTGTTAAAAATTCTGCTCTTATTCTAAGCCAAAATACAGTGAATTTTTTTAAAAATGAAACTCAAGTCATCAACTGAAACATCCATTCCAAGAATACACTAATTTGATACACTGGGAACTGTGAAGTCTTTGTTTTCTGTAATTAAACCCTTCTGATGTTTCTAGAAGATCAGAGAACCCCATATCTCCAGGAACAACACTGCAATTCATAATATGCAGCAGCCTCTAGTCTGAGCTGAGGGATTTCAGGCAGCAGTCCCTGACATTGTGTGATGTCCTGCACAGCGCACGAGGCACATGCATGCTCAGAACCAAGGCGGCGGAGAAGCCATGTGCTGGAGCGTGGGCAAACACTGCCAGAAACACCTCAGTTCAAGCCTTTTGAGTTTTTAATTAACTGTTGGCTGTAGTCCTTTTGGAAGCCTTTTACTGCTGCCTATTTTTTCGTGACCCCCATATTCAATTAAGTGGCCCCACATGGGGTTGCAACCCACAGTTTAAGGAGCTGTTTACAGGAGTGCATTTACCAGCTTAAATCCCTACGAAGTAATTAGTCTAAAAACACAGGATCATCTATGGTAATGTTTTTTGAAATTGCTTTTCTGGAGCTATCTTCTTTTGTATTTATTGAATTCCTACTTTATGTTCATGAGCTTCTCTTAAGCTCTTATAGGTCATAGGAATTAAATAGAAAATCATTGTGTTATTTTACAGAGCTTTATACTACTGTTTCTAGCAGTGATAAGTGAGTAGTGGGCTGAGCAGAATTGTCCAACAGTTTTCTTAACTAAGCTTTTTCTTTGTGCTTCTTTCTTTTTTGGAATCTTTACTGTTTTTTTTTTTTTTCTAGCTTATGCTGGCCTAGAATTCATTATGTAAACTCTTGACAGTTCTCCTGCCTGAGTTTTCTGTTTGCTTAGATTACAGGTTTCACACACCGTATCTATCTAGCATTAAGAATTTTAAAAGTAGCCAGTTACCTGAAGATTATTCTTTATGATGCTCAATTGTTTTCAAGTATTGTAGCTAATAATGACAATGTTGAGGTTTTGGCACAAGGAGAAAGAGTGTGGATATTTTGTTTTGAAAGAACATTTAACTCACACAATAAAACATATAATGCCAAAGAGGGTTCTAAAGAAAGTATGTCTTGCTAGTTAATATTTTATTTGGAAATGGGTAAAGTATAACATGCCCTCTTAAGGTACTGACTAGTGTATACTTTGAAAACCAACTGAAAAGGACATTGTCGTTGAGAAGGTGTCCGTCTTTGAGACAGATGATTGGCAGGTTCAGCATGTCTGGGAATACCTCTTACAGGAACTGAGGAAGTGGGGAGTTCTGCTACAATATAGAAGAACATGTATCTGTTTCTTAAACAAAGAGCTGGTCTGGTTTATCATGTAAATAGATGGGCGGGATGCTTTAGCCTGGTTGTGATGTGTGCATTTTTTTTTCCCCTTTGTTGTTGTCAATAGAAAAGATTGATCTGTGGGCTGGTGAACTTATCTGGGTCCCAGTCTGAGCAGCAGAGGAAATTAGCACAGCGCTTGCTGGAGAATGATATCTGTCAAAAGAAACACTTGGAGAGCACTGAGTGTAGTGATAGGTGACTGCCGGAAAAAGGCGAACTTTGAATATTGTCAAGGTAAGGAACAGATGCATATTTTGATTTTGCCATTTACTTTATGTATTAGAAAATCAATCTATCGCTTTCTCCCGACACATTATAAATTGTGAAGACTTTTCTCTTTCTTATTCTAGCACCTGTTGATGGAGTTGTCTTTATGCTTTAACCACTTGTGTGTGGAGCCTCTGGGTGTGGGTTTGGGTGGGGAATCAATCAACCTGTGCAAATTCTGCTTACTAGCTTTGGATCTAGAGATATCAAATGATCACCTACCAATTTTATTTTTTCTGCTTCTTGCCATGTTTCATAGCACCTCTGTTAGAAACTGAGCAACACTTGTAGTAGCAGAGCAAAACCTGTAATTTCTGGGTTTATTGTAATGAGGAGGTGGTGTTTTCTCACTTTGTTGACTAAACAGGCAAACGAGCTTTTCAATTTATGATTTCTTCTGATGAATTTGATTTTTGAAAATTTGGAGCTGACCATCATCACTTCTGAGCAGAATTCATATCTGTTGGTACATTTTTTAGAAAGTGATGTCTAACTTCAGGAAAACACCAAGTATAAACTAAGTGTATTCTGCCACTTGGCTAGAGGCTTCTGAATGTAATGACCCATAGCAAGCTCTGCTCCAGGTTTTGCTGGGAATGGACTTGGTCAGAGGCTCCACTCATAAGAAAAAGCTGTGCTGAGACAAAGTTGATAGTCAGCACAAATGTTGTGTGATTCTGGTTGGCACTCTAATGGCTCCAAAGAAATTTGAGGTTTCGTGACTGCCTGCCTTCCCGCAAAGAGGACTAGTTTTCAGCTTCTGTGGCCATTGCTTTGGCCCTGCTTAACACTGTCCCACAGTCTCAGCTCCATGCAGTTTCCAATTCCTCAAAATAAGTACTGGCTTATTATTATTGTTGTTGCTGTTGCTGTTGCTGTTCCTGGTGCTGTTGTTGTTGTAGTTTGCTTGTTGTTTGTTTGAGACAGGGTCTCATAGAGCAACCTTGGCAAGAGTGACTCTGAACACTTGACCCTCTTCTTGCCAGTTCTGAATGTGGTGGGATTGCAGGTGTGTACCACAAGGGATCTTATTTCCTGCCTTAAAGTTCTCAGGAAGATGTTGGCAAATGGGGATTTATTTAAGAACACAGAAAATGAAATAGTGCCCTGCAGAGTTTTCTATCGCTCTGGGGGAAGTTCTGCACTTTGGAGTCTGCATCTACATTGCTTTTCCTTTGGTCCCTCCTTCATTTATTTATGTCTTTCAGTGTGAGTAGTGAGATATGCCATTTACAAGAGGAAGGCAATGGAGGCAGTTGTGTTACCTAGATGATATTTCCCCCATATTTGCTTCCTTCGTCTTTCCTAGTTTATGGACTCCTGTTATTAAACGTTAATTTTGACAGTTCTAACCTCGGTTGGTTATACTTCCACAGCTTGGCACAGAGAAAAAGAATGGGGTCGATATGGTAACTTAAAGCAAACAAGATAATAAAAACAACCATCCCTGATTCAGAACTGTTTTCTACGTTTCAGTATCCGAACAAAGTAGCTATTTAAGAACAGAACAGAACTCAGCGTTTTGCCTTGTTATCTCTATAGGGGTTCACATTAGATGGCAAAAATATCTAAAGTGGCACTTAAATATTGAAAAAGATATTGGATTTAAAAACTTGAGCACATACTGTAGATACATAAAATTATCATCTTTCTCACCCCATCCCCCATAAATCGTATTCTCTGTCAGTCACACGGAATACATCTGTGGCCTGACTGCACTGAATCATTTCAAGGTGGAAAAGCATATTGAGAGGAAAACCAATATAGGGACATGCTTCTTCATATACCATAGTATGTCCATTTGTTATAATATGCAAATCCTGAGTCCCCAGCATCAAAAAAAAAAATCAGAGATAACATGCAAAATTTCTCCCCCTTTCTAGCTTTCTTTTCCTCTATGTGTGTGTGTGCAACCTAAAAGTCATGGCCATTAGCAGGCATGTTTACGATAGCTTGCTTTCAAACTTTCAGGTTTCCTTTGTTTTTCCTGTTGTGTTAAAAGTGTATTCCTAGTTATTTCTTCCTCTTTGTGATAGTAATAGCTGCACAGAAATATGAGGTTGAGAACTGAGTTCATCCAAGAAGCCAAGAAGAACAAAAACCACACACACTTTGCATTTGCAAGCACCTGGAATCCATTGGGTTCCTGGAGTTGTAATTTGGAAACAGACAAAGCAAAGAATTACCAGCTGAAAAGCTGGCACTGTGAGTGAGAACAGCCTGAGGAGGCGCCAGAGTCTGGTTTGTGTGGGGACTTTGAGGCAGAGAAACAGAACACAGGGCACACTGCCAGCTTGGAAACTAGGGAACTCGAATGTGTCTCCTCTCGTGGTTTGGTTGTCGTCATACTGTTTTGTTTTGGTGCTTGGAGTGAACCTCAGAGCCATAGGCATGCTAAACTCACACTGGACCGCTGAGCCCCACCCCTTGACCTAGCTCAGGAGTCCTGAACCACCCCCCCCCCCCCAGGATGCACACACCCTGTGCCTGCTCCTCTAGAATGCATTTGGAGCTGTTCTTTCTTAATAGGTGTCCTTGTGAGTGTTAGATGCGTTGGGAGCTGCTGGGAGTGTGGTATCTTGCCTGAGAAACTTGCTCTTACAGGCTATTAAGGACAATTCTGAGATGAGTTTATTATAGTATTTGGTATATTAAAAATAAAAAAAACTCTTGGCTTTCAGGACCATGAAAGAAAAGAGTGACAGGAAACTCTCGTGCAGAGTTCTGTGTGTTTAATATTCCTGCATACGGGATATGATATTTAGGAAGCACCAATTTGTGTATATTGCGTAGGATCCAGTAGTCATATTTGTGTTAATAAAGAGAATGCCTTTTGAGATTCTCTTGTCAACAATGACCTATACACCTTTGAGCATTAATACCAAGATAAGAGAGTTCATTCTTAGGTAAAATGGATATTTTTTAGGAGAACCTGCATTTATTTTAGTGTTTCTTTGGTCTGATATATAAGGGTATGATAGCATTAATGGGCTTTGCCCCACATGGAGCTCTGAGATTATTGTAGCCTTGCACACTGATCCCAGGTCAGTGTGATGCGTGAAATCAATTCATTTGAATCTCTTTGCCTCTATAGGAATTTGGCAGCGTGCCAGTTGTTTTCATTTAATGTTCTTTGTGTTGAACACAGACAAGCAGGCATGCTATTGTGTTCTTCCCTCTTTTGGTCTCTGTCTCTTACAGCCAATATTTTGCTCTGTGGATTTTGAAACGAAGGGAAGGGAGGCTATATCGAGGGCGGGTGGTACTTAATCGTTGCCTGATATGCAAAAACATACTGTGTGACTTTTCTGTGTTTTAGGAGATATTCATTTCACCTTCATGACCCACAGTGTTGATATTATACTTAAGAAATACTTAAGAATTTTGTTTAAATAAGATTCTTGGTGAAATCAAACAGATTATAGGTGATTCCTTGTGTTAATGACAATTACTTGAAACAATTATAGGCATTACAATAAATACTTAATCTGTGAACTAGACTATCAGAATCCATTTTTACTCAATTTGTAATTTTACCCTTTAATCAAGCACACATTAAAAGTAATGCTTTTTCTTTAACCTATTTTGATTAAGACACTGCTGTATATGACCTAAATTTGTTATATTATATGATGCTCTACTAAAGTTCTGTGATTTGAGTAATTTCTTTTTCTTTTTTAAATGTGCGGGGTTAATTTCTGGGAGTGGCAGAGAGTCTTTTTTTTTTTTTTGCCGTTGTGTGATAAATTCAGATCCATGCATGGCTGTTTTTGTAGGCAACAGGAATTGTTTCTGGGTTAGATTTTGGAAGAGGCAGAGAAAGGAAATAAGTGCCAGAGAGTGAAAGGAGGGTGTTCTATTGATGCTCCAGGCAGTTCTTGCGGAAGTTGATATGCAGAACCGTGGAGCCAAGCCTTGGGGTCAGGCTCCTGCCTGGCAGCCCAGCTTCCTTGTTTAATTACCTGAAGAGCCAAACAGTCAGTCTGGGAGTGTGTGAAACCCCAGGATCTCCTGCAGCCTCCTGGCCCTCTGACATCCTTCAAGGACAGTCCTGTGGGTCTGCCTGTGTCAGGCTGGTTCACGCCTTGGTTCCTTTCTTTCAGGAGGCATTGTGTGTACGAGGGTTTGGCTCTGAATCTGAGATTTCTGCCTGTGCCTAGACTCCTGCTCATTCCTTCTGGTCTATTTTGACAGATGGGTTTGGCTTTCCTTTTTTTTATTTTTCAAAGAATTTAAACATGTGGCTCTTTCATTTTGTGCTTCTGGCCTTGCTATGGAACAGTCCCTGTCTCTCTAGCATGTTAGCTAACAGGAGTGTGGCCTTAGTTTCCTGAGAACTCATTTTTCAGTGCTGTGTGATCACATCCTGTGTATTGCTATTATGGGGTCAGACTCATAGTTATTTAGTGTGCAGCTAACAGTTCTGAGATGATTTATTTATTCATATATGAAAATAGAATATCCTGTTTTTAAAAGAAAGGTTATAGGATTTTCGAGATTGGGTCTTTCTTTTTTTTTCTTTGGGATTTGAATATAGTGTTAACATTTGTAGCAGGAAGGGGCACACACCCTTTGATGAAGCAGGAGGTGGTGAGAAATAATATTGGTTAGCAATATGTCCAACTTTGGGGGCATTGCGTAGGGAAAGTATTCTAAGAATTGCTAGGAGATGGAGCCATTTGGGAGACCTCCTGGATATAACAAGATGTTACCTTCCCAAGAGGATGTCTGGCAGTGTCTTTATCTATCTGCTGACTGATGGAGCGTCCTCCCTGTGGGTGGGGAGCAAGGGCGGGGGTAGTTCTTCCTTCAGAAATCAGCGGAAAGTGTGACTACATGTCTAGTAATTTGGTTTGTCCAACTCCTTCATTAGGCTTCTGTCATGCAGCCTGAAGGATGCTCACCCTTTAGTGGCACGTGTTTGATAATGTGTTTGCCTACCATACAATATAAATAGGTGTGGGCAT